CTTAATGACATAGTTTTAATATTTTTGTGATTATTATCATTTATAAGATATATTACTATTGTAATAATACCGTTTCGGTATTATTACAATAAATATAATACTATTATACCACGGGCGTCGGAAGCAAAAAAATGTGGGTGGGTCCTCCCCCCAAAATTGTTTACAGGAGTAGATGCCACTTACTGTATTTTGCCTTTTAATTAAACAATTGCTTTAATAGCCACATACCAGTTACCACATACCAGACAAGGTTTCTTAGAAATTAACACAGCAATGAAAGTCTAGTAAGTTGTTTTGAAAAAACGCCAGATAACTGTTATAACAACATAGTGTAAGTGTAACTATAATTTAATGCTGCATTCTCTGGAAATGAAGAGTTTTGGTGCAGCTTCCTGAACTACACTGATAAAGATCTCTGTCATCGGACTGAGCTGCTTGCTCTGCAAGAATAAGCTCAGTGATGGATAGCTGTAGTGTCCAAATTATGACTTTTTTTCTCTCCATCGGATGTTAGCGTACTTTGAATTGAAAGTCTTAAGTCTGAACTTAAATACAGTATAAGCAGTGTTTCATCTCCCTGTGTCTCTGTGTGCTTACAGACCCCTCCCACTTGCTGTTCTGCCAGTTTCTGTATTTATTTAAACATAATAACACACAGGACAGAATTATGGCACTCTGAGTCATTGCGTTCATATAATCTTCTTATGCTAATACTTGCTTATGCTGCCATCTTCTGTCAGTTAACTTTTCAACAAATTCTTCTTGATGGACAGTACGCTGACGCATTCAATTAACAATTGGAATCTTAAAGGAACAGTTCACCCAAAATTTTATTTATAGGTTTTATAAATATACAAGTTTGGAACTACATGGTAAATAAATAACAAAACTATTCCTCTGTCTTTCAGATGTTCGTTATAGACAAGGCTGAGGGGGAGAACTGCTCACTGACCGAATTCACCATCTCTGGCTCCACATACGCTCCTGAAGGAGACGTGTGAGTATCTGTCTCTGCTCTCATATTTACTTGTAGTACTGCAGTCAAACTGATGCCTATGACTTCACATTTTTGCCAGCTTCTGTTTTAGTAGGTAGTTTATTGATCATTCTGTTTGGTTGCTCAGATTCCTTGATAACCGATTAGTGAAATGCTCCCAGTATGACGGGTTGGTGGAGCTGGCGACCATCTGTGCCTTGTGTAATGATTCCTCCCTGGATTATAATGAGGTGTGTTTTCTAATTGTACTTTCTTAGCCTGGATGATATAAGCAAAAATGTCCATCGCTTTGTTTATAAAATTCAAAATTAATATTTATGAAACTGATATTCTCAAAAAGTGATTCCAGAAATTATTAAAAAACATAATGAAAGATATAAAATATATATTTGAATAAAAAAAAAAATCTATGAATCTATCTATCTGTATGTATATTACATAAAATTACATATAATATGATACCTACTTTTTTTGTCAATTAAATTTATTTATTCAAAAATACATTCAAAACCGAAATACTGTGGAAAATTATTTTTTTAATTTTAATATATTTTAAAATGTAATTTATTCCTGTCATGCGTAGCTGAATTTTCAGCATCGTTACTCCAGTCTTCGGCGTCACATAATCCTTCAGAAATTATTCTAATATGCTGATTTGCTAATCAATATCAACGTTAAAAACGGTTGTTCCTCTTAATATTTCTACGGAAAACTTTTTTCAGGATACTAAAGAACAGCATTTATTTGAAATAGAAATCTTTTGTAACATTATTAATACTTTTGCTCAATTTAATGCATCTATGCTACATAAAGTATTCATTCATTTTTTTAAAAAGTATCAAAGGGGTCATATGATGTTGCTAAAAAGAACATTATTTTCCACATACTGTACATTATTGTTTCTCCTCTATGCCCCGCTTTTTTGAAACGCGTCGATTTTTAGAAAGCTCATTGTTCTGAAAAGCGAGGTGTGCTCTGATTGGCCAGCTATCCAGTGCATTGTGATTGGCCGAATACCTCAAGCGTGTGACGGAAATGTTACGCCCCTTACCATACTGTGATGCCCTGTCCGGCCGGAAGGCGGGTGGCTAGAGTGAGGAACGGCCGGCGGGCTGAGTGAGATGAGGCGAGCGGGCTTGAGAACGGTGCGGCCGGCGGATTCGCCGAAGGAGCGTCCAGCGGGCTTGCGGCAACTACATGTGACGACCCCGGGCTGGACTCCGCTCCGGATAGCGTCCTCTTTTGGAAGGCCAAACAAAGTAGTTTCGCTTTCACAACGAAACACACAGTGCCTTCACGACAT